CTAGTTGCCTAGCCATCAAGGGCGGATCCATTCGAGAAGGCCTTCCAAGAATACACACTCATACAGCGTATGAAATGATTGGGACACCGAGCATTCACCTGTTCACTTCTTTTCAGAGCCAAAATGGACAGGTTTTGGTTCTTAAACTGATTGATAAAAACTCATAAAGACAATGTGAACAAGCAATTCTATACAACTTGGTAAGCGCGTATTTCGAATCAACATGCAGAACGCAAAGTCGCTCGTCCACTGCAGCATCATTTACTTGAGGGGGTTGAGAATCGTGTTGAAAATGTTACACATAATGAGTGCGTCTGTATCCGTTCTTAATATTCAGTGGGTAATATTCTATTGCCACTGATTTCGCCGCAATGTGACCATGTATCTAGTACACAAGCGAACGACAGATTTGGACGTATTTTCGAATTCAAGGGATACCAAGATTGTACATTTTCGGCGAGCAAGTCGTTGTTCGGACACTTGACTGAATGTGGAACTGTGGTCCACACAAGCCCTTCCAGAGGAGAATCATGCTTCCTGTTCTTGGGATAAAGCGTCCAGATACTGTTGGGATAACTGATACTCGACCAAGTATGGATTATCTTACACACTCTGTTTGCCTTCTCGAACCTGTACGACTCACTAAGCCTGTTATCTCAATTCACGTGTCATTTGTGTTCTCATTCAGGCGGACGTTTTTCACGCGTATCAGATGGTGCAAAAAAAAATGCTCCACCGGAGAATATAATTACTTTAGACTACGACGATATTGCAAACAACCCCAGGAAAATATCGCGAAAAACTTTCGCTATATTGTAGCAAATAGAGTGTGGAAAAGGCACTTCGTTTTCTATAGATAAAAATGTTGGTAGCCCAATTGTCGTAGATGGTGGTCGTTGGCTTGTTCGCTGAACTGGGCAATTTGATTGCAAACGTTTCATCACCAATCGAGGTGACATCATCAGTGCGTTATTGTGGAGCGTAGTAGTGCGTAGCGGTGGGTTGGTGGTTGTGCGTTGGGTAGTGTTGTGCGTGTGTTAATATAGTGCTGCTAGCAGGGGATGACCTTTGGTCGCGATTAGTTGTTCGGTCGGGTGATTCCATTGGTTGCTCCGTTGTCCTGTATCCCCATTCGCCGATGCCCACGTGACCTTTGAGCTTGGCATCCCCTCCGTCGTAATCTGGTCGAAGCTAGATTGACCTTTGTCCCTTCCAGTCCTGGGTTGTGACCTTTATTGATTTGCCTCCAAGGAGTTCCTTGTTTCGTTGTTTGTGAATCCAATATTCGGTCTTCCTTGAGTTTTCCGGTTGAGTTGTTGGTCTTTTGCACGTAGGGGTGCGTAAATTGGGTCCAGTTCGATGCACCGGTTGATCGAATTTGCCGTCGAGTACCATGCTTCCAGAAATTCTCTTCCGTGCCTCGTGCGTCCGTATGCCAAAATTTCTGCGTTTTCCAAGTTGAATTTGTGGCCTTCTTGGTCCTCGTGTATGGATATCAAGGACAGGGGGTCATGCCTCCTGACGGCCGCGTTGTGTTCCTTTATTCGTGTGCATAGTCTCCTGCCAGTTTGTCCGACGTAGAATTTGTTGCAGTTGTTGCAGTTGAGTTGGTATATCACATTGTTCTTCTTGGTTTTGTCCGGGTTGTCCTTCGGTCTAGAGATTAATTTCCTCAGGGTGGCATTCGGTTTGTGGGCCACAAATATTCCTTTTTGAGCCAATAATCTGGTCGCGAGTTCTGATATATTCCTGATGTAAGGCAGGACTACCCGTCTGGTGGCTTGTTCTTGCTGTTGCCGTGGTTGGGGTGTCTTCTTCTTCAAGCTTCTCTTGATAAAATTCCTTGGATATCCATTGTTCTGGAATACCCTGAGTAGATGGTTTTCTTCCTTCTTCCGCAGTTCTGTGGTGCTGCAGTGTGTCTCCGCCCTCTTGAACAAGGTTTGGACGCAGCTCTTCTTGTGGTTTACTGGGTGATTGCTGTTGTAGTTCAGGATTTGATCTGTATGAGTCTCCTTCCGGTATACACAGGTTTCCAGAGTCCCATCCATCTTTCTGTTCACTAGAACGTCTAAGAATGGTAGTCGATTGTTTCTTTCCAGTTCGATTGTAAACTTGATATCTTCAAAAGTGGTGTTGAGCAGTTCATGTGCCTCGTGCACTGAATCCCGTTTCATGATGACAAAGGTGTCGTCCACGTAGCGGATCCAAAGTTTTGGATTGATGATCGGCAGTACCGCATGCTCTAACCTTTGCATTACCGCCTCAGCAATAAATCCTGATATTGGAGATCCCATTGGAGTTCCTTTCAGCTGTTGATATATTTGTCCATCGAAGGTAAAGTATGTATCCATGCAAAAGTCCAGCAGTTTGCCTATACTTTCAGGTTTCATGGTTCCTGTCGTGTTGGGCTTAGTCTGAAGCAGTTCTGCTATGGTTGTCCTGGCAAGGTTGTGGTTGGTTAAAGTGAACGGCGATGTGACATCAAATGAAAGCATGACTGCATCGTCTTCTATACTGACGTTCTGTAATTTGTGTAGGAATTGACCTGCATTATTGACTGTGTGTTCCGATTCGGAGATCAAGTTTTTTAATCTTCTCCACAGGTCTTTTGGTAATTTGTAAGTTGGGGTTCCCGGAAGTGAAACGATTGGTCTAAGTGGAGTTCCTTCTTTTTTTTAATCTTCTCCACAAGTCTTTTGGTAATTTGTAAGTTGGGGTTCCCGGAAGTGAAACGATTGGTCTAAGTGGAGTTCCTTCTTTGTGTACCTTTGGTAGTCCGTAGAATTGTGCAATGTTGGTGTCATCGGCTTTCGTTTTCCATCGTCCCCGTCTGGTTAGCTCGTGTGTTTCTTGCAGTCTCTTGAGCATCGTGTTGATTCGATTGATGACGTTTGAAGTTGGGTCATGATCGATTGGTTTGTAGGTCGTGGTGTCATTTAGCAGTTGTTTTCCCTTTTCAATGTAATCCGGCTTGTCCATTATCGCCGTGATGCGTCCTTTGTCTGCCGGTAGTATTACGATTGTTTCATCCTTTCGTAGACTTGTGAGTGCGTCTCGTTCTTGTTTGGAAATCAGTTGCATGTTTCTATTCCGCGTGATCGCCGGTACGATTGTCTGTCGTATCTGTTGTTGAACCTCCTCGGACATTTCGTTTGTTTTCAGGGCATGTTCTAAGCTGGCTAGCAGACCAATTTTAGATCGACCTAGATCTACTTAAACTCCCGATTAGAAGATAGCCACACACCTTGAAAGCTATCAGCAGAAGTTTTTCTCGGTCCATGGTCTCAGAATCGCCTTCCTCTCAGCTTATGGTGAGTATCAAAGATTATTCAGCAGTAAATCTGCACAGATGTTTCCTAGATTTTTAATTTCATATCATTTCCTACCATTTCCTATCCCGATCTATCCTTTACCATACAGTGTTCACATGTTTTACGCTAATTTGAGCTTGTGTTCAGATTTCGTAAAATATCTTAAAGTACACAAGGGATTGGACAAGCTTGGAAAAGTTTGAAAATTTGCTTGTTCTTGGAAATTCTGCAGGGATAGGACAGACAAATAGGTAAAACTCACCTAAACACTTCATTAACCTAAACGCATCTATGAGGCCCTAACATCTACAAAGAAGTTGGATGCCCAGAAGTCCTCAAGACAAAGTTAAATACATAATTTTCCTTGGGTTTATCTGCTTCAGCGGAAGCTAATCCTGATATAAAATAACGGACGACAGTGTCGGTTTTCTCACTGTATTTTGGATGTTCCAACAAGTAATTTTATTTCAAGAAAGGGTTGTGAATCTCCATATGCATGTTTATCCGGACTTCAAAAGATGGTGGAAGTTGACATCATATTTTTTAAGAAAAATAAATGATTAACGCAATCCTTGCTAGCTAATTTAACGACGCGAATTAATCATATAAAAGATTATTAATGACAAATGTCGGATAACCCCAACGAGTTCCGTCCGGGTCGTCACCCCTCCCTGTTGCTGTTCGAGTGAGGTAACATAATGTGTACATTGTTATATGTGCACAACCACCAACCCACCTCTACGCACTACTACGCTGCACAATAACGCACTGATGATGTCACCTCGGTTGGTGATGAAACGTTTGCAATCAAATTTCCCAGTTCAGCGAACAAGCCAACGACCTACAGGCACTTCGTTGTTTAGCTTTAACACGTCTCACTGTCTTTGGCGTATTTTTCATGTATAGAACTGTTAAATTTGAGCTGCCGACAACGAAGAGGCTTTATGCGTCACTTCAAATGTCATATCAGATTTTCTTCTGGTTGATGTTGTTCCATGACTGTAGACGCCATAGAATCCTGATGCAAGCAGCACATTCTGATGATGATGACGATGATGATGATATGCACTCGTCTGAGTACTCGTTTGAGTAGCCTGAAATGATATCTAGATGTCGTTTTGGTACATCACTTGACTGATGATTTGGAGCAAATAGTGAGCAGACAATCTAGTAGGCTAAACAGTTTGTAATGCAGTCGGAGAGGAGAAAAGTGCTTCTAAAAGCATTCAGAGTTGGTTCCTGCGTGGACACTGTAACACTCGTACGTCGTTTATTGCGCAGTTGTTCGTTCGGCTGTAGCATCTTTAAGGTGCCTAGCTGCCTCGACACACGAAGGTTGCACGAGGGCTGGGATACTGCCAGGTTTCCCAAGCCTAGACATAAGAGGTCGGGAGGCAGAGGTAGGGCTGGAACTACTGAACTGCCCTTCGGCAAATTCGCGCTCTAGCCACTAGAGCCGTCTCGTTCCCTAACCAATCGAATTGCATTCATGGACGCCGAATATGGATATGCTCAGATGATCTACCGCGGGTGGTGTTTGCATGCAAAGTTACTTAAAAAAATCACATTTTCGAAACAAATTTGCAATTTTCTTTGTTGTGCACCCTACGAGGAGCATTGTAGGATACCTACGTTATTTCTGCGTGAAGGATTATTAGTCACAATCAATCGAATGTGCGACAGAAAATGTACTCATCGTCGTGAGCATTTATCCCGAAACAAGCCCGGTACCACGCCGAAAAGAATTTGTGAGCCTTTCATTTCTTTCCATTCGACTTACATGTAAATTTCTCCCGAAACCCCACAGCCAATTTTCATTCTTTGATTACAGAAATCCGTTTAAAGGTAAAGTGTTCCATGACTACGAGCACGAAGATGTCTACATGGGTGTGGTAATTGACTACCGTGGAAAAGTAAGTCCGTGTTCCGGTGCGCAGCAATCAAGTAAATTCCTGCATCAGTTCACCGTGTAACACACTGTGCAAGTAAAATGACACAATATATAAAACTTTTGCTTTCGGCTTGTCGAGTAGGCCAGCGTCCTTGTCAAAAGAACCACGAAAAGAGTATCATAAATTAGACGTTCAACTGTGATTCGCTTGAGTGCTGATGAGTAGTTCTCACTTCAATATAGCGCCTAGTTCTCAAGTGAGCTTCATTCTCTAGCTACTGAGGTAGACGAGGGCTATTCGTTGTGCTTCCGTGTGATTCATGTTCAACTCAGCTGCCAACAATGGCTGATGCACCAACAAAACCTAGCAGCGTGTCCAGGACAGCACATTTAGCTGGAGAATATTATAGATAAGAGATCTTCCACTTTGATGATCATGCTGTTGAGAGATACNGAGGATTTCTTGGTAGTGCTTCCAGCTAGTCCACGTTAAAATAAACTACTAACTCTGTGCTCGAGGAGCTAATCCAGATTGTCATGCTTGGCAAAGAGACCAACAACTGAATTCTTCAGTTTTCAGCATACAGCGACCATCGTGGTAATAATGAGTGAAAATGGATGGCAGACGATAGATTTCGCTAATTTATTATATTCAAAATGAATGGTTACTATGAACAGAATGAGTGTGTTTCAAAGGATTGTCACGGGAATAATTGGTTATGCATGTTAATTCGTTTTAAGATGTCACTCACACACGTATTAACAGGCAATAAGGAACTTGAAGCCAACAAGAAGAAGGTGCTGAAAAGGTTAGTTTGCGCGGAAGTGGATATTGTTTACGCACTTGCTGTTCACAGGCGGAATTCTAGTTTTGAAGGTCACCGTCTTCGGATTTACGAAATGCGTTTTTCGTATTCTCGTACGTAATATGGTACATAATGTTTTTAATTGAATTTCCCTGAATAAGTCAATATGTCCGCCTCCGTTTAATCGAAACCCGTTTTTTTCAATTTCAGTCTATACGTTATTATTATTTCATGGTAATATATCTGGTAAACATTGTTTGGGTGTGCGATTGTGGCGCAATCCTTAATCCCCCGATATTTGACGGTAATTCCTGAGTAGCCAATGCTTTGTAGGGGATCCCTTTATGTATAACTAATTAGATATTCCCAGCTCCCGTGAACCCTTTTGAGTTAATTTTTTAAGAACGCTGTTTGACGGTTTTTTTAAGAGCTTCATGTTAGTTGCTAGTCTGCTGTTATTCAGCTTCGCTTCCGGGAACTTGGTGACTCGTGTTCTGTTCGGTCACCGTTCCAAAGCAGCGGTCTGGTAGCTGTTCATATGGGACTTACTTTGAGGTTTCGCCAGTCCTTTCAATAGCTTGGAGTGGGGAGTTCCTGCATTCACCCTCCCAAAGCACTCAGTTTGAAATCCATTCCTGAACTCATCCGCACTGTATTGACTGTTGCCTAGAGTATGGAGTTTCGCTGCGTGTCACGGATATTATACCCTGTTGTAGCAAGCTATTTTTCTGTATCCAAACATTTTCATGCAGAATATTTCCATTGTCATATTGAAAAACATTTTTACTCTTTTCCATATTGTGAGCTTAATAGTTTGTACCTTGGAAGTTGACTAATGTTTTACAAAGATTTGTTCAAGGTGAGCTCGGCGTTTTTATATTCTCTTCCACTTCATAGCAGTCTGCTTTATTCTTCTGCCTGAAAAAGTTTCCTTTACGGATCTAATGCATAACTAACCAGCAAGATGAACAAAAGCTTTCTGAGCCTAAGCTAACCAAACCATGTAGTTTGTTGAGATCGTGGATGAAATATTCTTTAGAATAGTTACTCATTGGCGATAGGCTCCCTTCTTAATAAAGACACTTCTATCAGAGGAAGAGCATTTAGCCAAAAGGACCCTGAAAATCAGGCGACAGGACAAAAGAAATTCAGGACGAACCGAGCAACATGGAGTACTAAAATCTGTAATCTGATTGAGAGCCTACTAAATGTGGGGGAGGCGGACCGCAACACAAGGAACTCAGTAACCGGCCAATCGGACAACTACCAAATGGTCCCCAGAGAGAAGCTACTGAAAGCACATATCAAGTCCAGGGAATGCAAACCACAACGCAGTGCACACCGAAATGAACCAATTGAACCCCGCAAACTTTATGCTCCCGTCAACAAGTCGCAGCCGCATAATGCCAGAGAGGTATTCAGGAGGTGCCCACCCAAACATTCACTCACGATGTCACTTCGATTGGCGATGAAACATCTCCAAGGTGATCATCGGGATCAGAGAACCGACGGGCGCCCTCTTGATCAAAGACCAGCAAACAGACCATAGATCAGTTTCATATAAAAACATATGGCCTCTTGGATATCCCTGTTCAAAATGTAGTGTCGTCTCTCGCTAATTAAAATATTTCCCTCAGAAGTGTAGGTATTTTCATGCAAATATTTAATCATGCTAGTAAGAGTATGACTTCGAAAGATCTGAGTGTGACAGTTCCAATGTCAAGATGATAAACTAACTGAAGTATAAGACTGCCTCTATTCACCTTCATGCATTCAAAACCATAGGAGCTACTATAACACGCGGTGCAATTGTAAACCGACGGACGTCCAAAAATCGACTTTTCATTCTCGCATTCATGTGACCATGCAAAAAGCAGGCCAGTGAAACTTAATTTGGTTACGGATTATATCCAGTAGCGTGGCCAAAACAATATTCTGACCGGTGTTTCCGCTAACTTTCCAGCTCCGCGGGTTTTTGGTTATGCTATCCTATGTTTGGTTGCGCCACCCAATAAGCTCCTCTACGTGACCACCTTAAACATTCTCCCCACCTACAGCGGTCCTGATGACAACGTGGGTGTTTCCGCTAACTTTCCAGTTCCACGGTTTTTGGTTATACTTTGCTATGTTTGGTTGCGCCACCCAATAGGCTCCTCTACGTGACCACCTTAAACATTCTCCCCACCTACAGCGGTCCTGATGACAACGTGTTCCTCTTCTTCTCTGGGCACGGTGGAGTTTCCTTTCTTAGACTGATAGCAGAAGATGTAAGTTTGTTTAGTTTTGGTAGCACACAGTTTTTCCGTGGGAAGCTAAATGGAGAACGGCTTGGAGAGGCTTAGATAAACATACGTTGGCGCATTCTCATCCATAATTCTTTATAAGTGAGAGCTTATAGTTTCCCAAAAGTGATATCCCCAGAAATTCAAGTTTAGTAGGCCTCGTCTGGGTGCGTTTATTGATAACCTCAATATTTCGTTTCACTGAGTTTGGGTCACTCAACTCACATGATTTCGCGGTCGATCCATTTAGGCTTCTGAGCAAACGTAGATACCATAAACAAAGAAGCTGGTTGTATACGGTCACTCATGACGAACTCGTCGGCTTGAGTCTCCCTGCAGGACAATATATTTCACTTTGCCTTTAGAGAAACTGTGCGAATCATTGGTAGTACGAAGTAGTTTTCGTATTTCTGTAATAGAAACCACTCTGTGATAAAAACCCGGGAAGCAATGTACAGCGGTTCCATCCTCATTGGGGTTCATCAACGGTGCGTTTGGTAGTTGCAATATTAAACCGCTCGGCCACGGGCAGCCAAACGACATCCTGATTTGCCCGCACCGATTCAGAACAAAACGTTGCTCATTCTTCAATCAAGGAATCCACACCACTGATGACTGACTCCTCGACTGACAACTTTTCAGATGAAAAAATCCATCCGTCGTGTGAACCACTGTTCCTTTTGGAATACTTACAGTCGGTTTGTAGTGAGATGACATTTGAATGTGTGCAGTACTTTGGGAATCGCCCTGAATTTCGTGAATCGCGATTGGAGCTAAAATACTCTCCATAGATTGGGAAGTGGGACAAATGTTTGAAAACGGAGGTGGAAGTGACAGTCGGAGTGACATGAAAATCAGCCGTTCAAACTGGCGATTCATTATTTAGATTTTTTTGACTGCAACTTATCCACTCTAATATTGGTCTTTGCGTAGTATTTTCAAGAGAGGTTCACCGTACCGTCAACATTATAGCTGACCAACACTACAGGGGACATGCTGGCACTCATATACCGGGGCACGAAAACACATTTCACATGGCACTCAGTAATGACTCCAGGAAGACTAAGCAAAACGCATTCAAACGTTGTCCTTCATCTGATTCTGTTGGGCAGTATTTCTAAAAAAATCAATACTCGTTCAGTTGGAACACCCATTCGGTGCGTAGCTGTTATTCCATCTTATGAAGTACCAAAGCCGAGACACTGATAATTTGCCAAAGCCCAGACGGGAACAGGCAAAATGCTGAGGTTGGGTTCGAAGTCCTTACATTCATGCTTTTGTCCATGAGCTATCTCCAGCTCACGAGAATTTTCCTTCCTGTTTTGCGACAGCTGCATGCCGTGGAGTTGAACGATATCCTCGCCCACATGCATTCAAAAAAAAAGTACAACAAAATGGTGCTGTATGTGGAGGCTTGCTACTCTGGCTCTCTGTTTCGGAATATTCTTCCTCCAAATATGGGAAGTAAGTGGCGTAATTTTTTGGCTGTCTGTCTTGCAGATCCTGCTTAATAGCGCTCAGAATGTCCTTCACATATGGTTAAAATACTGCACTTGCCAGTACAACAAACCGGAGTTCCAACGTTGATTCATCCTTGTTTTCTTTGTGATCCTTACAAGGAAGAAATGTCTGCCTACACTCAAAACTGTTTAGCCGGGCAATGCACAACATTCAGCTTTCAGTGATTGTTATCGCTTCTTCCGATGAAATAGTTATATATGGGTTGAAGAAATCATTGTGTAACACGTACAACCCCTGTGATGTTTTGATGTCCCTTTGAGGCAACCACCAATGCCAAGGGATTGTGAGTGGATCGTGGCTATTTTATAAAATGTACACGTCAGTCCATCAAACAACAGGTCTGATGCTTGCATTCAGTAAAAATTACAGATTGGACATTCATATGCTGATTTGGGCTTTACGAGGTGACCCAACGGAATCCAGCGAGTTCTCTCGTTCATGAGAGTGTTTGGCCAGTCCGTCCAATCTGGCTTCAAGAAGTAATTAAGTTCTATGAAAAGTCGCGGTGTTCGCCTACCTGATTCGTCGCGAGAGGCGTGAAAACCGTGGAATCTGCCAACGGGTTTTCAGAGACATTCTGAGAATTGTGTTAGTTCCAGATTTCATACAGCCTCAATTTCTGCGAGTCACAGGATCAGTTTACCAATACGTTACCTCACTATTTTACGCATATTTGATATTGACCCACACTATCTGTTGTCTGAACCTCTAAACCTGCAGTCTACGTGATAACATCAGCCAAGGAAGATGAACAATCCTGGTCTATTTTTTGTACTGACAAGGATATCGACACTTGTCTAGCAAGCGAATTCGCGTACGCCTGGACTAAAGATTCTGAATACGTGAGTTTTAGCAAAACTGCTGCTGATAAGGCTATCAGTTATGGTTGGGTAATCTCGTGGTACTCAGGAGCCAGTGGTAGCCTACTTGGTACTCTAGACCACTTATTCGTTTATTTCGAATGCGTTAGCTGCACTCTCTTAGTAAATATGAATCTTTGGGTGACAGTGGGGCCAGGTATCTTCTGGAGTCAGGAAGTACTATTGACATTTGTGAACATTCAACCCAAAGTTTTGTTTTGACTGCTGGAACTCGTTTATCATGCGCAGAGCAGATGTGTGCTTCTCGTCTTTTCCCCATCCAGTCTTGCACGTCGGTGATTACGCCTATCTAGCTATCATTAAGGTAATGAATATTTCGCAGGTTGTGGCTCATTCGACAACATAGTCTTTAATGGTTTCGCCTGCGTGAGCTTGTCCACTCATCCCAAAACCGAAGCTTCAAAAACAGATCGAACATGTGGTGCCACAAAATTGGATGTGTCAGCTCCGGGTTAGTTTAGCTTGCATCAAGCTGGGCAAATGTTTTCCTTTGGCCCGCAACCTACTCAGCATTAATTTCCTTCAGTAGTACGGCGCACTTTGCGAGACTGGTTATAAATCTTTTGTAGACATTTCAGCTAGAAATGACTATCAAACACAAACATCACCGTCACCAACAGTGCTGCCACCAATTTACTTTTGAAGCATGAACAAGATTATTGCGAATTCAGCAATCTCGATCGCCCGGTGGCCCAGAAATATAGAACGCATTAGTTGGATATCTAAATATTCTCATCAACCTCCCAATTCCGCTACCCTCTGACCTTGTAGAGGTATGAAGAGTTATGCATAGAGGTATGAGTATATGGGAAGTCTGGGTGCCAACGGTGTACATCGCCCCCTAAGATGGAGACTGCCTGAGTTCCACTGCGTTTGGGTGAAGCTTTCGGAAATTATGCAACTGTTGTCATCTTCGATTCGCATCCTCCGAGTGGATGCCTGAAGCTGCAGGAGCATCGAAATTACTGTGGTGGCCCAGCACCAAGTTTTCCCCCATTCATTTTGATTCCTTTCTTCGGAATGGGGCTTTCAGTGAAGTTGGGATGCACGCAGGGAATCGTCCGTTTTAAATAGGGATGCTGATAATGATGACGTTAATTATCAGTATTACTATTATTATTATGTGAAGGAGGAGGACGGGGGTGATCGTGGCGATATTGATGGTGATAATGGATCTCCTTAACGCATTCGTCTCAATAAATCTGTCGAAATAAACCACCAAAAGTAGTGTGCAGAGTATTCGGTTGGAAAGACATCCACTCGGGTTCCCGGTCGTTGTCAATCGAATTTTCATTTTTCTCACATATCCTGCCTCATCACAGATGAATGAGGTTTCACTGTTACCCTAGCTGACAATACTTTATCCAAATATGCATTCAGCATTGCAACACATGCTTTACGCATGTTTAGTTACTGACTGCCGAGAACGGTGTTGTCTTCCGTGCCCAGTCCGGATTGTCAGAAACCTAAAGGTGAACATAACTTCACATGACAGAAGGGAATTAAGGATTCAATGAAAAGTTAGAATACTGTTGGTGTTTTTCGTCTTTCAGAATGGGGTCCACTTGACCCTCCCAGTGCTTGGCTAGAGACATCAAAATGTATGGCGACCCAGCGTTATCATTTGCGTTCATGCCGTCAGTTTCCCTCCAGTTTGTCTGACTAATTGTCGCAGGTGTATGTGTCTCGGGTGTTTTCTGAGGACTAGCCCTAGGTTTGCATTCCTGTTCCATTATCCTTCATTTTTCTACTACGGCAGTGGAGCATCCATATTTTCCTCTGCTGTTGCTCTCGATGATGATGATGCTGATGATGGCGGTGATCATTAACACAGCGCATCAAATCTCCAAGATCTGTCGTCATGCAACAGCGGAGTGCCTACTGATTTACCATTAGTATGGGTCGTCCCATACCTCGGTTATCTTAACTCTAGTGGCAGTTTCACGATTCTGCCTGCATTGGATTAACCTTAAAATTGCATTAGCTAATCTGTGTCTCTTACATATCTCCCCTTTGTCATTACCTCTCCTTCGCGCGCAGCATGACATGAAAAGGCATACACTGGATCAACAGTACGAGGAGGCGAAAAAAGTGACAGCGGATAGTCACGTGATGAAGTACGGTGAGATGGTGAGTCACACACCGTCACGGAGAAATTTAGTTGAACTACTTGTGGAAAAGCAAACTGTTATGAAAATGAGTGTATTTATCGAGATGACAGTTGTGGTTCTATCCGCGAAAGGTGACAGTCAGTGTTGAAATTACTTGATTAGGAACTTCAGGTTCCATAGACCAAGTTCAACAAGGCTGCTAGTCCAGGTATCAAGATATCCAAGCCTGGCCGATTTCACTTTTCGGATAACCAAGCAATGGCTTTGGGTACCTTATGATTCATAAGTTTGTGATCTATGGTACAAAAGGAAGTCGAATCTATATGAATCATTTACAGGTAGCTCAGAGGAAGAATAGTTTTACAGATTAGTTTTCCCACCACCTGAAAACTCGAGGAGCCGTGACTGAACGATGAATGACGCTCTGTGCTGTCTAAATGAAAGCCAACCACAATGCAGCTAAGTCCCTTGTGGCAGCACGTTTCAATTCTCTACTGGAGTGAGATACGCACTTTTTCTCGCTCCCAATAAAGAGGAAACACGTATTCAGTGTTTCTCGATCTTTCAGCATAGAATGGCTTCATCGAAATGCGAAATATCCATTCAAATGATAAAGTTCTGCTAGCCGGCACAAAGCGGAAGTGTACAGTAACATGGGTACAGGCGATCAATAAAGGCACGTCAGGGACTCATCGTCATGAAATTCAAGTTTAAACTCTACTATGTGACGACGACGTTGGTGGGCTAGCTAGCTACGTTAAGTGATTCAGACATATGCTCAACCAAGCGCACATTCGAAAGATACATTGACACATCGGCTACTGCGCTTCGGTCCGACTCGCATAAACTTAGTCAATGTAGTTTTGAACTTCGTCGCAGACCTGAACGAGCAAACTTAGGTGATTATACTAGTGACTCGGTGGACTGGCATACACTGATGTTTGCGAAACGGTTTTGGAATTAATGTTCATTGATCAACCGGATATTTCTACATGAACGCGTGAGTACTCCGGTTGCAGAGCTAGCGCCTTATTCATTGGCGCCTTTTCATTGTATGAACCAAGATGCTATGTCGGTTGAAAATACACTGATAGCTGTCCGTTGATTGTTTATTTCAGGCGATGGGAAGTCTCCTAGTTGGAAAATTCCAAGGTCATTATGTTCTACCGATGCACCGGAGTGACGGAACAATACCAGTATGTGCTCAGTGCTATGTTCGATATTTGTTTACGGAACCAAGTGACCACTCCGGATTCCAATGATACTTTAAAAAGTTGCCACTTCAGAGGCAGGAACGCCTCCAATCCCAGTTACTATCGAATCGACAAAGTAAATTAGGAGTGATTAAACAACCTTAGTTGAAATGTTTTGGGATGGAAACAAGAGTTACTGCGACCAACAACGTTCACCGGAGAAGCCTACAAATAACTCGATAGAGTAATAGATAGATAGATAGATAGATAGATAGATAGATAGATAGATAGATAGATAGATAGATAGATAGATAGATAGATAGATAGATAGATAGATAGATAGATAGATAGATAGATAGATAGATAGATAGATAGATAGATAGATAGATAGATAGATAGATAGATAGATAGATAGATAGATAGATAGATAGATAGATAGATAGATAGATAGATAGATAGATAGATAGATAGATAGATAGATAGATAGATAGATAGATAGATAGATAGATAGATAGATAGATAGATAGATAGATAGATAGATAGATAGATAGATAGATAGATAGATAGATAGATAGATAGATAGATAGATAGATAGATAGATAGATAGATAGATAGATAGATAGATAGATAGATAGATAGATAGATAGATAGATAGATAGATAGATAGATAGATAGATAGATAGATAGATAGATAGATAGATAGATAGATAGATAGATAGATAGATAGATAGATAGATAGATAGATAGATAGAAAGAAAGGAAGAAAGAAAGATAGTTGGATAGATAGATAGATAGAGAGATAGAGAGATAGAAAATCATATAAACAACCAAGCAGACAGACTAAGTGATAAACTGTCTCCGGGACACACAGATGTATAGATAGGCAGGCATTTAGCTGAATCGCGGCCAGTCTGCATAAAAAGAGCAGAGCGATCTAATCGTAGATCCAACTCGTTGAGCGTCTGCTGATAACCTGTAGCATGGTCAGCGATAATCGAGCTGATGTGGAAAGCCTATCACTCCAAAAGTCAAGCGTTTCACCGATTGTAATTATTCGTGGATTTCGTGTAACACCATCCGACCGAACATGGTATTTACCACCAAATATTATCGCCTGTTGAATTCAAGTTGCTACCTATTTCGGCAGCAGGGCGTTGTCGCATCAGGAATATTGGTTGGATGTGTTCACGGCATAAAACAACACACGATATTTAAGGTCTCGTCTCATATAATTAGCGAAATGTATGAAAAGTTTAGTGATGTTCTACTTATCCCAAAATGATTTACAGGCGACTGGATTTCCGCGACGATTTGCGTAACCCTGGCAACCGAGTGGTATTACGTGGTTTCTTCTTAATAGTGAGTATTCTAGGAAGACAGTCCTTACATTCAGTATGGTCAGAGCTCATGATGACAGTAAATGTCTTCCAGTTGTGCTTTCGGTTCCAGCGGAATGCTGTAGATAGAAAACCCTCTTGCCAGGCGCATTTGTTTCCAAAGTCTCGGCGGCTGATGGAGACCGCGACTGAGGGAGAACATGAGAACGCTTGGCGAAAGCTGCACCGTGCAACTCAGGTTTTTCTTATTCCACTGATCTCCAACTGAGAACTGGAAGCACGATGCAAGATTGCTTTGGGTAATAGTAGAGAATGTGTTGCAAATGCATGTGGGCAAACAAACTGTAATAAGTCCTGTATTTTAGCGGTCGTTTATTGACACTACCCAGAAATCCATCGTGGTTCGTTTAGATGTGCTAGAAGTCTTTTATAGTCTACCCATAATCACCCGTAACCATTCTTCCTCCTTCTTTCAGCTTAGCCACATCTTCAAGGAGACGCTTCGCGACATCGTCGTGGACGTGACGACCCACCATAAGCCAACTCTGAAGGGCTTGTCTAAAAGTGATGAGCTCATGTGTTTTCAGGCGGTATTCGATCAATTCCGGACGCACTGCTTCACAATTCAGAAGGTAAGTTGACCAGTTGAGGTACAGAAACAGGGGCTTGCGTACATTACTAGCAGATGCATTCACCCCTGGCGTTACGTATCTTGAGCCTCAATCCCAAAATTACGTCCAGATAAACCGCTGACAGACTACCTTTACGATAGGAACTTTCGGGGCAAATCCGGTGCTCACCTCACTAGCATCCTCGTTTAGTTCTTGAAATCGGACCTTAATTCCGCAACATCGTGTTCATTTAAGGAGACGCCTAATGTATAAATTCGTTATCACAAAAGCGACTCATGGAAGGTAGAAATTGGTTTAGGCAGTTCGGATCTCCTATTCTTTGCAATGTGCATGTGCGCATCTCAAGTTGACAGCAGCCTGAGTTCAGTTCAGTTGAGTCCAGTTCTAATCGGTACAACACAGCACCACGAAAAGTGGATAGATTGAGATTGCAAGCGACATGGGTCAGTCTTGATGTGAGGTTCCTTGTTTCCGAATGTTCCGTGGGTTCAGGCTGCTAAGGAATATAAGGAAGCGAGATTTGACCAACAAATGTGGCTGGAATTGTTTTTCACAGCGCACAATTTTGAAAACAATTTACCGAAAAAAGTGGCGTCTAACCAACAGAAAACTTGAACCGTCGGCGCGGCCAAGCAATAGAAGGATAAGCCCAGAATGATACCCATAACTAATGAACCGGAGTCAGCTCATATGAATATATCTGTTTCAGTTTGAGTGTGTATCGTGGCTTCAATATTTTGACAGCTACTTTGAAAGGTCTGCTGACTCAACGTCTGGTTATTCTGTATGCAGTAGTATAGTCAACGACACCAGCCTTTTGTTACAAAACCCCGTTCAAGTTTAACTGTAAGTAGTTTGTTTGGAGGCTCACGGATGCCCGCTGCTGCCGATGTTGCACTTACCAAGGTCCGGCCTTCTGGACTGACGGTACTGTGCTCTTTTACACATCTTCGTAGATAAGTAATTCTGCGAGTAGTTTCAGTATTTGAAATTGATTGAGGACAAACACGCAGCAACACACACAACATCCGAGAAGCATACAATACGATTATCGATTCCAAGAATCGTTCCATAACTTCAGTGATGGCATCGCAGCATTGTTGGTTCTCTCCGCTTATGAAGCCTTTGCTATGAAATGTAACACTTGCCTTTTTCAAACTACCGACGAATTCGCTTTTGGTCAATTGATATCCATTAGCCCCTTCCTGAGCAATTGATCGCACAACTGCATAAATAATCATCGTCCAATCTTGTATTCTCTTCGAAGATGTTCAGTCAGCGTACACAGTTTATTCTCACTTGAGTGTTCACCGAAGTTTCCTTGAATCTCCAAACACGCCTGACTTAAGAATACAATTCAACGACAAAATTGCTGTCCGCTATTTCCACACAATGTTAAGTAGGAACGTGAGTGAATCTGGGGTAGTCCTTCCTTGGTGTGGGCGTTTTTGGAATCCACAAATCCATTCTGTACAGAGGAAGTTTAATGAAGAGCACAGCCATTCTACTCGTTCGTCCGAATTAATACGATATGATCTAATGGCGATGGATGGTTAACCGAAAAGAACACAGACAGTTCTATGTACGAATGATTAACTTGTATAACTTCAGTGGATTATCAGCAAAAGCAATCCGTACAATTTAGTCTCAAATAGAACACAATTTTGACGGAAACTCTGGAACGGCGACGGCCTGATGAGCCCCAAGAAGAGCAAGACCGGACATAATTTAATAAGTATTTTGTTTCCTAGAGTTCACACATTTTCACTCATTTTCACTCAAGTGAAACTCACTGGCAATCTTCGCCACCGTTTAGCATAATGGCCGCTTTCTCTAAAATCCTGAATTCTGTTGGTGGACGTTAGGATTAATCTTGTGTGAACGAACTGTCCTGATCGTTTGAAAGCATTCTTAGTCATTATTACAGACCTGCGCTCGACATGTAGTAAACTCAGTCGTTCCTATGCGTTCCTAGCTGAGATTCTGTTATCTATCTGCCTTCAGGTCCCTGAAGTAGCCCAGCACACAACTCGCTTAATGGAGCTGTGCAAAGCCGGATACGAGGCTGAAATCCTCATCGACTCCGTCCACAACGTTTGTTCTTAACGGACATGCAACGTGTTTTGTGATTTTGCCGGTATAAAATGAATTACAGATGGTCCGTATCGTGTTTTGCCATCGTCAGAAAGCAGCGGATGTGTTTCTGCGTCAACCAAGATGTCCAGAAATCGTTTGGCAAAACAAAACCGAAAGCATTCAGGCAAAAGAGTCGGGTTACTCATTTCATGTGAACTTATCAAAACGCCACCACATATCCGACGTACCAGTGCACGATAGATGCACAGGACGAACAAAAATACGCCAGGTGGCCAACCCAGGTAGAACGGTTTGTGTGTCGTCTATAGATCAAACACACTGCTCAAATTCAAGCGTTTAATGTTTCAGTGGTTTAAACTTCATGGGATACTTAATTAAGGTTGTTGGGTCGGCGTCGTTTGGCTCAACAATCAGATTGGTAAGGAGTCTTTTGAAATGATCTGTTTTGGCAGTTGTTCCCTTACCACATTATCAGCGTGATGTTGTTGTATCGGATTCACCAACTGGTCGATGTTCATGCGCATGGTACGATACAAGACCGACTCTAAGCCATATGTATCTCGTCCAGAATCTTTATGCAGTTACTCGAAAAGAGTTCTGGATAAAACCAGTGCGCAGTACCGCACAGAAATCGGCACAACGGAGAGACCGATTACCAGGAGATGAAGAATAGATGCTTAGGAACTGACCAATAAAACGCCGTTCGACAGAAAGTGCCGGTTGGCCACACGGTTTATACATAACAAAATCTCTACAACTATTCTTGAAACGACCAGCTACCCATAAGAATGCTGAAAACACTTCAGCATCTCACTACAGGTTTCACCTTCCTGCGTTACATTAGATAGGCGTACAATGTGATGCCCAATTGAAACAAGGTTGATAGGAAATCGCAGAGGGTCAACTTCACCGAGTAATCGCGGTGTGACAGCTGTTTCACACTTTCGGCAGTTGTCTATCTTTGTACTAACGTACAAAATCATCCCGTAGTGGACGGTCCTTTTGCGCTTGACTAGAGGTGTTAACACACAGACTGCGAAGGAATGAAATGTGGACTACAGTATACAAACAATCCTACTTTACATTGAATTAGATGATGTATGGAGCTGGGTGGAGGCAGACCACTACATAACACAAACAGGGCGTTCGGCGTCATTCGCTAAATGGTAAGCCATGAAGGAGTTGGCAGTAGGCAAGCCAAGAAGCATGGATTCCCCGTCCCGTTAACTTTAATGTTGCGAGTTTATGAGAGCAGCAGTCATACCATTTCCTTCCATCGTAAGAGATGTGTTTCATCCAGGCAAATCATTGGCACCCTACGGCATTCAACACATCAGAGGCTGGTATCAAACTAAAACCCCAAATCAGACCGCAATCCGATTTCTTCGGTTACACACGGCATTTAACGATCGATTAAAGCAGGTTTTCGAAACAAACGGGTGGAACTCTTTAACTGTTATCGTTTTTGAGCAAATGCCGGGTAAATGCCGTTTTATTAATCGGCCTTCGCCACTCATGAGCCAGGTGCCTGGAGCAACTCACCGATAAGCGTTTGTGCCCGAGTGCAAAAGTTACATCGGCCTCGTGCTATTTGAGGGGCTTTTCTGGCATTGATGCATGCAGTCTGATCGTGCCTCCATGGAATTCCTGAACGCAAATCACATTTGTTCGTGCTGTTGTGGCGTGCGTGAACGCTCATCGGCTTTTGCTGGGTTGATTGAATGATTGGCCTGGATGTTTGCTGATTTTCCTATTCATATTTTGGTGGCGTTTTAGGGTTTCAGTGGGTTCCGACCATCCTAGGGTTTTTCTCATGAATGGTAACCTCCCGATAGATAAGAATACTCTCATTTGCACATTAACTGAGTCTTAACGGGTGAATCCTTCCCTAGGCCGCAGACTAACTAACGTAAATTATGTCTTTCGCTCTGCACAATAGGAGACATTAGATTGAGCCCGGACTGTTCGTGCTACGAAAACGACAGAAGCGAATCACACACCACGATCCAGCCCCACCCCCGCACCCTGCCAAGGTTTTATATTTACAACTACAACCATAGAACAACTCTCAGGGTTGAGATTATTTTATCTAGAGAGCTCGAGATAAAACCGATGATGGGGAAGTAAATTCGTAATCATTGTCTAGAGGTCGTGAATGGTTGTGTCACTTTTGACCAGAAGCATTCGAATTCATTGGGAAAGAACAGGAACAAATCGGCGACTGAAAAGAAGCTCGGGTGACAACTGCATTGACCACATGGAGCAAAACGCGAAAATTTGGCGGCTCAAGGAGCCGTTCCCGGGCGACCAAGTCAGGATAAATGTGCATTTATGCCTTGAGGCTCAGAGCATCGTGCCACAGAACATGTTCTGGACATCAAGAGACACCACTGCGTCCCGAGACGAATGGCCACACATATGGCATGTACTTATGTAAACGAGAAGAGTTGAACAAACGGAGCACATGAGACCTGATTAGAGGAAATTCTGAAGCACATTCACGGATCCAATTTGGTAGAATATCATTCGGACCAGAAGGCGTTTAGCGAAAGTAGTGGAAAATAAGTTACAGTTGCATAGGAAAGTGGGACGGGAGAAATGTAAGAACTTTAGTGTAAAGAAACTTGACACCTGCTTCAAGGGTTCGAATTTCGCACAAAAGTAACGGGAGCTTGTCCTGATCTCATCTATGAAAGGTGTGAGATGTAGGTTCACACGGAAACCGATATAACCAGCCGAACTTGAAAACGCAAATACAGCACAGTGTAATGAGTAACACGTTTGTATTCCAATTGACGTATATGTACGGCACCTAGAATAATAAATGGAAACTTCAAGTTCTTTGCAGGTGGTGTGTTGGTCTAATATAACGTTCCCTTCGGACAGCATAAGATCAGCTACAAAGGCCTTATTAGTACTTGAAACACCATGGGTGCCGTCAACATACTGATCTCTGGTATTGATCTCAACTCGTGCAATGTGTCTCCGGTGACAAGAGAGATCATCCAAATCAAGAATGGTGACCATAAGTTTGCCAGTTGGTCGTAACTCGCTACCCCTGAAAAATGTAACGTCATGCGTTTTGCCTCAGCCAAGGCTTGTAAGCAACGAACAAGATTTAAATAGAAGCACAGGACTCTTACTGTAGTGCACTAGGAACTTATCAATTCCACGGTCTAAATCCATAAAAAGTAGGGAAACGAGGAGAACACGAAGTAATGGCAGATCACAGTGTTAGGAAAAAAATCTCAGCAGGCCCATTCGACTGAGGATGTCGCCTGGAACAGTAAATAGAAGCCGACATCCAAGACCTTTCAAGCATTCCTCGAGGGATTTTGCAGTCAGGCGTGAGCTATAGTCAGCGACCAAAACACATGGGGCACATTTATGGCTAAATAATTTCCTCAATGCTTGTTGTGTGAAGTCGAAACTTTGAGTCGCATGACATAATTCATGAAAGGAAATCTACATCAATATCCTTTTTACGCTACGATGAACAATCGTGTAGGTGTACGAACTTAGTGCAATAATCCACCGTCGCACCATAGTGGCAGATGACTCCGCTAATCATTTTGTAGGATGATACAGGAAATTTAAAGCACCATGGTCAGTAGCAATAGTAAAGTCTGATCCGAAAAGATGCTAATTGAGCCATTTGATAGCCCATTATAGCGCAATTGCTTCTTGTTGTGTCTGAGAATACCCACACTCGGCTTTTGAGAGTCATCGAGAAATGCAGATCACTGGTCTACCACACTGTTTAAGGATTGCTTCTCTTCCAGCAGGAGAAGGATCAGCAAAGAGAGTTGGGTGATTTTTGACGGAAAATGGCTTCAAAACCGCTCAAGTTTGAAGGTGAACAAATGATATACGCAACGTCTTTTCATGGTTGTAGGACAGGAAATATTGACTGAAAGAAACGGCATCAAACAAGCAACTTGCATGTTTGCCGAAATTAGGAATAAAACGGGAGTAATACTGAAGTGCTCCGATCAACTGAAAGCAGTTCTTGTAGATAGGTTGGTGATGGCACATTTACTAAAGGAGATATACGGTTTGCATCGGTTTTAAAACCGCCACAATCCTCAATGTAACCAAGGCATGAAAACGACAGAACTCTAAAGGTGCATGTATCATGATAAATATTTATTTGGACTCAAACTCGCTTCAGTAAAGACGGCGGAGGCATATCATGAGCGGCTTTCTCAGCCGCATGCACCATGACACTATCGTGATACGTTTCAACACCCTTCAAATCTTTTGTTGAGAGATTCGGACAAAAGAAAGCAAAAATTGTATCTGAATAAGCCGAAAGATGTGTTGATCACGGTAAGACTACTAGAGACATCGTGCAGTGGTGCTTGAAAATAGGCATTCTTTAAATCGATTTTTGAGAACATATACTCGAACCTGCTAAACGACACAGTACATCTTTGGACCATTTCTTATTGCATGTACGTTGTACTAGCCACGAATTTAGCGTTGTTCGGTAGTCTCCACAAAGCCTCGAAGTAAAACCGTCAGTCTTCATTGGTGTAAATATCGGAGTTGCTCAATTCGATGATTCGACAGGAGTCAGCATTCCTTTCCCATACACTCAATTTTATGCCTGACGATCAGGTTTTTTGTATGCCAAATGAAATAATTCCTCTCTGAAGAGATATCGGATCTCCTACGAATTTCCAGTTTCAACTTGGCTATTTGCATGCCACCTGTTGCCTAGGAACATTTAGAAATCAGCTATTTGAGTTTATTCTCATTCGCAGAGGTCAGTAAGATGATATTAGTTCGCAGTAAGCGCGGAAATTTGAATTCGCTGATTGGTGTTCTCGAGGTTGAGACCAGAAAATCACAATCGATAGGGATACTTGGAGTCAGTCATACAGGATTCGTGCAACTACCAACTAGTGGTAGATCAGGTACGGTGATAACAGGAATGTTAACATATGTAGGCACTATCACGACAATGGGGTAGAATGCAGTGACCGTGGATTCAGAATGACCGTGGAATAATAGACCCAGGGCTTCCAGTGTCAACAAGAGAATCATGTTTTTGACAAGAAGCAGTTTTAAAG